AAAAGAAAGAAAAAGAAAGAAAAAGAAAGAAAAAGAAAGAAAAAGAAAGAAAGAAAGAAAACACATGGCTGGCAAGCCACTCCCACAAAGGAGGCCACACCCACAGAGTAGGTTTGAAACCCACCACTGTGCCTGATCCATTAGGATCGGTCTTTCCTAAGTTTCTTTCTCTGTCTATTAAGCAACTGTGGAGTCCATCTTTTATGATCAGTTCCTAGGAAGCGTCTCTTCCCCTGATCCTTTAAGGTTATTTTCACATACCATTACATCTACTTACTTACAATGGAAATTCTGGTTGTGGTTGTTAAATAAATCATGCATGATCATTAAGTGTGACATCATGTAACTGCAAGTTGCTACTTCCTGCTGGCTGCCCCTCTGACTTTGCTTGTTGGAAATCAACGAAGGTCGCAAATGGCAATCATGTGACCATGGGGTTTTGAGGACCAATCATAAATCTCCTCATTTAGCACCACTGTACCTAAAAAAAGTAGTTGAATGTATAGTTGCTAAGTGAGGACTGCCTGTATACATACAATAGTTGTAAAGTGCTAGTTTTTTTTTTTAACAAAAAGCATGATTATACAATGTTAACAGATATTCTGGGTTTTTTTTCTTTTGAAAATCTTGAATAAGACAAGGCATTAGATATGAAATGTCAATTTTACAACTGCTTCACTTAGCAGTGGAAATTCTAGTCCCAATTTCCATCTTAACTAAAGAACTACCCGTAGCTTCCTCTTAAAATTAAGGCAATACTTAGCTTGAAGAAACAATGTACCTTGCTATTCTTGGATGATACTGAGTTAATTAGATTACCTGTAGGTTCCTTATATTAGAAATAATTAGTTTTAGTTCATTGCTGTAATGTGAATACTTTCATGTTTCTTTTCTTTAAAAAAACATTGGCTGTTCCTTGCTGAATGCTATTACCTATTTAGCGTAACCAGTACCCAAAAGGAAGTGATTATATGTGTGCCTGAAGTCCATTAGGTAATTTACAGAATGATATATTGATATGATATCATTATCATGAGATAGTAAATTGTAAAAATGGCTTGCAGACTATAAGTCTTTTGATTTATAACCCTTCCAAGTGTGATTTAATGACACTTTTTTTCTCTTTTATTGGATAGGATAACAGTTTTGAACAGTTTATTATTAACTACTGCAATGAGAAACTGCAGCAGATCTTCATTGAGCTTACTCTAAAGGAAGAACAAGAAGAATATATAAGAGAGGTATATATTTGTTTCCTGTGCAACTTCCCAGTCCTGCCATAAGTAGCTTCTTCTGTTTGCCTTTATTAACTTTAGGAAAAGTTGTGCCAGTCTTGTAAGATATGAGGTTGTTCCCTGTACTGACAGCTGTTAATGAATCATAAGTGTTAGCTTTGAAAGAAAATTAATAATACAAAAGGCACAAAAGGTTGGCAAAAGTTTTGTTGAGATCCAAGAAGTAGCAAAGCATGAGAGTATTCTGGAAGCATAGATGTGAACATCCAGAATATTGCACAGGTAATATAAAATGTGTTTTGGTGATGCTCGGTATCACACAGGACTTGATTGATGACATTACAAAAAAATAGTACTACCAAAGTGTAATCTATTCTGTTCTGATGGCGTCATTTAAACCAAGCATCTGTCCTCCTGAAGATGAAGATTAAAGGCAGACAAATCTCAGGGGTTTGTGAGGTGAAACAGTCATTTCCTTAGAAACACTCTCAAGATGTGCAAAGTGTTTATTGACCTAAGGCTTCGCACTGAAGGAATTTGGATCTGTTTCAATTAAGTGCATGGGAAATTGACACAGATTGGGGAATGGAATGGAAAACACATCTGGCAGTTATTCAAGAACACTCAGTTTGGTTTAGCAGCGTTAGCAGTTTCTGCGTTTCTAACAAATATAAAGCTCCCATCTGAGCAGCCCCCCCCCCAAATAATTGTGATTGGGAAAGAGAGGATGCAAAAACAACACAAAAAACTCCCTCCCTTTTTGAGATATATAACACCTTTATCAGAAGATTTAAAATAATTTTAATTGGCACTCTTTGAGAAAGAAGGTAAAAATAGAGGTTTATCTATTTAATTGTTTTCTTTAGATCATCTTCTTCTTGTGAAACCTTTAATGTCATCTAATCCAAAATTAAAGATTCCAAGTTCACCTAATGCTAATGAAGAAAAAGTCCATTGAAATGTCCTTAAATCTAGCAGCAGTATTTTTCTTAGGATTTAGAAAAACTGGGTATTATTCTAGGTCATGACAATTTACTAAAACATGCTTGAATTAAGGCAAGTAGTAGATCTTTGAAAGAAGCCAGATAATCCAGAAAATACAGTTTCTCTTCTATGGCTGTTTATATATGGTTTATGTATTGCCAGCTTTAAATATCTTATGCCATGAAGCATACAGTTAAATCATGCCATCTCCTTTGATTGGTGTTGCACAACAGTGACATATTCCAGGCCGGAGAGCATGGACTAAGAAAGGGAAGCAGATTGAACACGTACTTATGCAAATATTTTTAACCTTAGTTCAAGAATATTCTTTACGAATACTCAGGGAGTATAGTACAAAACTTAATTTTAATGCTTTTTTTACAGTCTTGAATTATATAGGCAAAAAATAAACATAATAGTGGGAAACCACTCAGTTACAGATGTCCAATAACTTTTGTTATGTAAATGTTGACCAAGTGTCAGCTTTTGGTTAAGTTAGTTCTATTGAACTTGGTAGAGTTTTACATGGCTGGGGAACCTCTATATTTATGCTGTTAAAAATTATTTTGCCATATTTCTTTCTCAGTTTTTCAACCTTATTTTTATAGGGTATTGAATGGACTCACATTGAATACTTCAACAACGCTATAATTTGTGATCTTATAGAGAATGTAAGTCCTTGTGTAAAATTCTTTTGCATTGTTTTGTTGTATCTGTGTTATTTTTTTTTCTTTTTATCAAAAATTCAGCTGTCAGCGAATGCTCCTGTGTTACCATTTTCTCCTTTAATTTTATTCACAAAAAGTAGAAAGGAAAGAAATATAGGAAGGGGGAAAAAAGAAAACTTGTATCAAAGGTGTAGAAAGTTTTTAAGCAGGGCATTAAACCTTGATCCATTAAGTGATATATTTTGCCTTGTAACATTTATATAGTACCATTTAGTTAATAATGACATTACTGAGCATGTAAGTCACAGCTGTCAAACTCGCGGCCCATGGGCATCATGCACTGGCCATGCCCATGCCCGGTTTAGTGAAAGGGGGGGAAAGTCCCAATATGTCATGTGAAGCCCCCATGACAACGTGAGTTTGACACCCCTGATGTACCTTTTTTGAACTGTTCTGTAACTTAGTGAATTACATTTCATTGGAAATGAATCATATAAGTGCAGACCTTCTCATGTCACATTAGTTCCTCGGCAACAGTGGAAACTGGATGAATATTTTAATTAGCATATGACAAAGGATCAGCTTTTTCCTATTCTGAGAGTCTCTACTGAACTTTTCTTAGGAAGAACAAATCATACTAGCCTGGTTCACCTCTCACAACAATAAAATTACTTGTTTTGGCTGTATGCTGTCAAGCCCAGCCTTTGTGGTTTGGGTTATGGATTATGTAACTTAATGTTATAGGAATCAGCTAATTATGGCTTTTTCAATAAATCATGTATTCAGACAATCATATATTGTCTGTAA